AGAGAGAGAGAGAGGAAAATCAAATTCATTTTTCTGGTCCCATTTCCTTCCACCATATTATGCTCCCTCGGCTAAATACCTGTGAAGAATGCTCATTTGTCTCTTCCTTCACCTTGGCTCAAGTGCAGGCTAAGAGAGAGAGAGAGAGAGAGAGAGAGAGAGAGAGAGAGAGAGTTAGTAGACCTTGACATGGGCCACCCAGATTCTCCTTCAAGAAAGTATCTCTTTGCTCCAGTGGTCAGAGGTGTCATCAGAAGACATCTCCAGCTGTCAGTCCCAATTGCCTCAAGTAGAGAACATCACTTCCAAAATGATCCACACTCACTGATGGTTAATGATGGGACATCAGGAGCACAAGAACTCAGATATTTGGCTTAACAAGCATCAGCTCTGATGAGACTTTTACCGGAGATGCTATTGGACCAACATTCCTGATCTCTCTCTGTATTCAATCCTATTTCATTTACCGTTTTCCACAGTAGTCCCAAGAAAACTCCCTAATAAAGACTCTTCATGCTAACTTCTTACTAAAGTCATTTTCTAGGAAAAATCCATTTATATCCATAAGCATCTTTCTTCGGTTCTCTTGAGAACTTAAATTCAACATAAGGAAAATCAAATTCATTTTTCTGGTCCCATTTCCTTCCACCATATTATGCTCCCTCGGCTAAATACCTGTGAAGAATGCTCATTTGTCTCTTCCTTCACCTTGGCTCAAGTGCAGGCTAAGAGCATCTGGCTTCTTGGCCTTTAATATTGCATTTGTCCTGACCCATTCTCCACGATGACATGGAAGAACCTCTCTAAACTGCAACTGTAATCCATGCCTTCTTGGATTTGCAAACTTATCAAAAAACCTAGTGGATGAGGATTGGTGGCCAAGTTTCCATCATATGTAAGTTGAGGTATTTTGGATGGCAAGGGTTGACTTTATAAAGAGGGAAGAGAAAGAGCCATTTTCCTTCAGGGGTGTAGCCACTGTTAAGTTGCCCATGCTCCAGTAAGTAACTTCATATCATGCTCATGCAAGCAACCCTCATTAAACCCAATGATTCATTTTAAAAGAGGGAGAGACATGAAAGTAGGAGAGTGACTTGTTGGGAAGAAGGGGTTGAGAGGAAGTGAGGGGATAAATGGGGGTGAACATAATTAAATTACATTATATGCATGTATAAAATTTTCTAAGAATAAACTTTCAAACATGTTAAAGGATTTAGAAACTACCCTGAGAAACTGAGTGCCACCAAGCTAACATGCAGAGTACAGTGCTAAATGACCTCAAGTGGGATCACAAATATTAAGCATGTGTGAGGTCCTTCTGAGAGAACACTGGCATAGGCCACATGTCCACGAAGTATGCCATTATTACAAGGTTGGTTCAGAGGCAATCTGGCTTTTTGGTTAAGAATCAAAGACTAACCAGTTCCACCTTTGACATTCCCTTACTCATAAGAGCCTACTGGATCATTTGCTTTACTCTTTTAAAAAGTAGAAAGCATCTCCTCTTACTCTTTTGATTTTTTATTTCGTTTGACTTCATGAGCTTAAGACAAAATCATCTATAGATCCATTCTTGGATTCTTACTCTGGAAGTAACAATAACTGTCTTAGCCTTTCTCTTGGGAAGAACATGTTAGGACAGGTAGGAAAGTCAGGAAAGGGAGTTACCAGTCTCTCCTGGATTGTGTGGCGTTCAGTGATAGCTATTTTCCCAGTGTCCACACCCTCCTTTCTTCCAAGGAGAACTGACACTGTCTTCAGACCTGTGATTCCCACTATGTGACTCAGAAGAAGCTGTCTTCATGACCGATGCCAAGGGGGTGGTGCTGGATGTTCTAAGCCAATTACAGTAACACATGTCGAAGCTAGTCTTCCATGAGTGTTTTCATGGCAATGGCCCTACCAAACTGTGAAATGCACTCCTAAAAAGAGATTTTCCTTTCCAACACAATCTTTGTTTCTGTCTCCTTCAACACCCCCTCTCCCTCCTTCCAGGGTGCCATGAGCATCCTCCTCCACCATAAGCTCCAGCCACCATCATCATCTGCCTCACCACAGAAAGGCTCAAAGCGATGGATGGAGCATGAATCATGAGCCCAAATAAAGCTCTTCTCCAAGACGGGTTGGCGCGAGTATTTGTCATGGTGACAAAAAGTGACTAACACAATGGATTAGCTGGTTCTCCGTGTAGGATCTAACCAGTCCGGACTTCTCTCTGCAGGCTACAGGGAAGGGCCAGCGTCTAAGCTCACTCAGGCTGGTGGCCAGATTCAGCTCTTTGTGTTAACAGGAATGATGTCCTATTTACCTTGTTGGCTGTTACATCCCTTAGGCTTTGGGCCTCCTTCATCTTCAGAACAGTAAGGATGCTCTAATGCTTCTCCTTCACCAGAACGTTTCCAGCTTCCTCTACTTCCACAAGACATAGAAAAGTCGATGTGTTTAAAGGGGCTAATATAATCAGATGAGACCCATGTGGATTATCTCAGGCCAACTATGTCTTCCTTAACAATTCAAGGAGTGGTATTTTTAATAATCTTCATGGATTCTTGAAATAAAGGCAAGCTAAAGGAATGGAGGTATACATTTTCACAACCCTGTCTTCCAAAATGACATTCAGGGATATTATTCTGCCTCACTGGAGTAGCCACTAATATTTGTCCATCAAATACCACAGTGCAAATATACCATGCTTTTGTTAATGTTGTAGAGGGGAGGTCATTTTGTACCATTAGCTGGGCACATGCATGCAGCTATGTAGAAAAGCTTACTTTTACAAAAAGAAAAACTGCTCCACCTAAAGCTGGAAGAGGTGGTTTACACCTAGGACACTAGAACTGGGAAGTTAGGGCAGGAGGATCATGAATCACAAGCCAGCTCAGGTTATGTGTTAGTGCTGCAGGTATAACCCTTCTACACCTACATAAGTACATCCGTAAGGCACATTTTAGAATTATAATTCTGGAGTTACCAATAATTTATGCATTTGTAATTCTTTTAGGTTGTCTGTTTTTACACTTTCTCCACAAAGAGTTTCCAAACTTCTTACATTTTGCAGCTGAAGAAGTTGAATAAAAGGTGGTTTCTTTTTGTTCATGTAATTTTGATTATCTTTGAATAGGTGTCAGTATCACTTGTAAAGAAAGCAACTCATAGCTCTATGACATTCTGCTACTAATGCCTGTCATGCTGGCATTCTGGTCTCCTTTGCTGTAATTAACCTTGCTTAAATAACCAAATTTTAATTATAATTTCTTCAAACATGTATTAAAAAT